CAAAACACCAATAATACGTTACCATTGAGGGAAACCGGCAGAAATGACATAAGTCAATTATGTAGAATGTCAGCTGGTGATAAGTGCCTAGATCTTGTAGGAACCTGCACCATTGGGAGCCATGAACAGGCTCTGAGCGGAGGAGGGGCGTGACTGTGATCCCGCCTACGACCCCCAGGAGCAGTGCTGGCTGGGGTGAGGGCAGCCTGAGGCCTTGGGCAGGATGGAGCCACCACAGTGATCCCGGGAAGAGAAGGTGATGTCTTGGCCCAAGGTGGTAACAGTAGATAAATGATGAATGAAGTCCTATCCTGACAAGTTGAGACTAGAACCAATAGAAGTTGGCGTTGGGTTGGCTGTGGGGTGGAAGAGAGAAGTCAAGGGTGACCCAACGTTTTGGGCTTCAGCCACTGGAAGGATTGAGGCTGGCGGTGCCATTTCACTGAGATGGGAACACCAGGACAAGGTGCAGATTTTAGTGGAATGTCAGAAGCTTGAGTTGGGGGTGTCGAGTTTGAGATGCCTATTAGACGTGAGTAGGCAGTTGGACACGAGTCTGGAGTTGCTGAAAGAAGTTCAGGCTAGAGAAAGGTCAGTGGTCAGCCGAGGATGTGTCAAGTCTCCAGAAGGATGAGGCCCCCAGGGCATGAATGCAGATAGAAAGGAGGAAATACCGGCTAGAAACCATCAGCTGCCCCAAAGGAGAACAGGGCGAGAGGGTCTGGGGGTTATCTCTGTGATGAAAGACGGCAGGTTTTAGACCCATAAACATGAGCAGTGAAAGGATGTTCTGGGCAGACAACCACATAAGACCTGGAAACGAGAGGTGGAGAGGTGAGTTGTAAGCAGCCCGTGGAAGGCCCCGAACAGCAGGCCAGTGCTTCTGGACATCATTCTGGGGCCATGGGAAGCAGGGAAGAGACATGACTTCAGGGACACAACGGGTGAAGAAAGTGAGGCACGCACACAGGCTCGACCTTGGCACATTCAGAGTTAACTTCTGTACCCCCGATTCCTCACTCAGCTCACCCTAATCCTGCTGGGTTGGGAGCAGGTTAGCACCCTACCCTCTTCTAGACCGAGGCAACACAGGTTTGGATCGCAGCTCTGCCACCTCTTAGCCAAGTTATGCATGCTTAACCTCGCTCTGCCTCAGTGTCCTTATGTATAAAATGGGAATATTGTGCTTTCCTGTGGTGGCTGTGAGGATTACAAGTGCTTGCAACATGACCTTACTATGCAGAGAGTAAGCATATGGTAAAAGCCAACTTAACGGTTCCACCATTTGGCCAGAATAAAGAGTGGGAAGGAAGGTTGGAGAGAGGAATTCATAGGCACTTGCAAGTCAGAGCAAGACCTAAGGGAGGCCTGAAAAGAGGCAGCTGTTATGGAAAAGATGAGGCGATGGATATTATCAAGAAAAGAGTGATAGAATCCATGGGACTTGACAGTGTGCTCATGCATTCCACAGTTAATGTGTCAAGTTTCTGTGATGTACTTGGAGTTGTTCTGAGAGCTGGGTTGATTGGAAAGCAAGGGAAAGTCTAATCGAAAAAAGACTTGGAGGGATAAAAGGAAATGGGCAGCTGGCAGCCTCAGCTCAATTCCCAACTTCCAGCTGTGCAGCTCAGCAAAATGAGCCAGAAACCACAGCTCATTTGTTGGCCTGGAGGGGCTCTCAGGTGATGGAGGGGCTGCAGATCTAGAAGCAGGAGGAAGGCTGTTTGTCCAGCAGGGACGGGGGTCAAGATGCTTCTGCTGCCCAGAGGGGCCTGACCCAGGGATCACTCAGCCGATGGAGGTCTGAGCTTTGGGAGCTTCCGGCAAGTCCTCCTGTCCTGTCCGTCCCAAGCAAGGCCCCGCCTCTGCAGCATGCAGGCTGAAGTGGAGGCTGGGTCACAGAGCTTGTCTCTGGACCGGGTCTTGCCCTGAGAAGAGAACTACTCATTCGTTCATTGTGTTAGTTTGCCAGGGCTGCCATATCAAAACAACAAAGCAAAAGAAAATTATTGTCTCCTAGTTCTCGAGGCTTGGAGGCTGAGATCAAGCTATCAACAAATTCATTTTCTTCTGAGGCCTCTCGTCTTAGTTTGTAGACGGCTGCCTTCTTGCTGTGTCCCCCCCACGGCCTTTCCTTGGTGCCGCGCCCTCTTTTTATAAGGACGTTATCCTATAGGATTAGGCCCACTCAGACGCCCTCATTTAACCATAATTATCTCTTGAAAGGCCCCATCTCCAAATACAGTCACATTCTGAAGTGAGGGCTTCAACATATGAATTTGGGGGTGGGGCACAACGCAGCCCATAATGTTCATTCTCAAACTTTTCAGGGCCTGTAGTGTCCTATGCTAGACCCATATTCATATTGAACTGAAAGGACAAATGATACTGGTTTCCTTTGAAAATAAATGCATTAAAGAGCAGTATAGCTGATAGATGGATATGGGGGGAAAAATCACAAAGGTGAGTTTTTTAATGACCCCAATTTATAGAACACTGAAAAAGACCAAAATAATGAGGATACAGAGGATTTGAATGACAATCAACAGGCTTATACAACTCTGCCCCTACAAATAGGAAATACACATTTTTTCTTATGTCCATGCAACATTTCTAGAAACCACAAAAGAAATCTTAGAGATGTGCTATAATAACTATAATATATCTGATTCCAGTAAATCAGAAGCAAAACTATACTCACAATATCTGCAGACATCAGCTGATTAATGCCTAATGAGGGACTCCCAGGGTTGGCCGATGCGAGACTACACTGTTTGCTGCTTGGTGTTGAGACAGATCAAGCACCATGTACCCCATGACCTAGGAGTCCTGGTCCTGGGCATTAGCCCTGGAGAAATTCTCACACTTGTCTATAGGGAACGTGCATAAAGATGTCTGTTGTGGGTCGGCCGAGTGNGGTTCATTCCTTGCTGGTGCTTATGGTCACCATGGATCAGCGGCAGCTCAGCATCCAGCTGTCTTCACTCTGGGATCAGGCTGATGGTGGAGCAGCCGCTCCGTCTCCCGGGGGCATTGCTGGCTAAATAGCAGCGGGAAAGGGGTGTAGGAAAGCACACATCCCAAGAAGGGATGCATCCCACCTCCACACGCATGCGCTTGGCCAAAGCA